TTTATACATTTCTCCTTTAAATACTTGAATGTATTAGAACTAATTAGTGGAAATATTGCCATTTAGAAGTGTTTCGTTAACATACTTTGGAAATAAATATTTTAAATTGGCCCAAAAGAATTTTGGGTACTAGCTGTATTGTTTTTTTTTTTTTTCTTTCACACCTAAATGGAATTACATCAAAATAAACTTTTTGTTATTGTTATTACATTTCCATGAATATGATACTTATACAAAGTTTTCCAGCATTGCAAGTGTTAAAAAAAAGGTTGGGGCGTGGGAAGGGGAAAGGAAAAGAATCAAAGGCAGATCTAGATGATACAATTTTAGAATACATCCTGTTTGGCCACATTAGTGCTGGTAATTCAAAGGTGCAGGGAGAATACAGTAAGTAGAAAATGATCACTCTTCCCTGGAGTATGGCCATTGATTAAGGCTGGGTGTGAGTTGGGGTGTTGAGATTTTTTTAAAGGTTTGCTGCATCAGCTATAATGGAAATACAACATGGCATTACAAGAAACACTGAAAACTTTTGAAACCAGGAGCTGAAAGGTAATTTTCCATTTTAAAGACATGTTTAATTTCTAAAATGTTCTACTAATCTAAACAAAGACTTCTATGAATCAGAGATTAAAACTGTTGATAAGCTAGTGTTTATAGCAAGTAAATTTATCTCAGTATGTAAAGGAGATAAGAGAGCTGGATTAATACATGGGAGGCTATAGAATGACCAAAACTGCCAAAGGTATTAAGGAACATAATACACAAATGCAGGTGGAGATAGATTTTACAAGAATGCTTTGCAATGATGTGCCTATGGAATACTTGGAGACTGAGAGTGTTTTAAATATAATTACTCTTCATAAACATTTTAACATCTTCAGAGTTACTTTGTTTTAATACTGGGTCCATTGAATGTCTCCCATAATTTTGTTTAGTAATTTGTATGGAAAACAGATTTGTTGGGAAATGAAAGGCAACAACAAGCTGTGCTGTCTCTTGAATCCTCTAACCCTGCTGAGTTCTATCAAACACTTGTGTGTTATTGGTGCTTTTCTTTTCAGCTTGGTGCTTTTATAGCTGGAAATCAATGTGGAATTGGTGGAACTCTGCTCCTGCAGATTGCCCAGGTATGCTGAGTGACTCTCTGGTACAGAACTCCACCAGAACTTCTGTACTCCTGCAAGGCCTCTGTCCTTGACATGAACTTTGCTGGATGAGTAATTTGAAAAATCTGTTTATAAAATTTAGAAGTCACAAATTGTGAGGATTTCTTTCTAATTTAAATTAGATGGTATAAATTATGTTGTGTCTTCAGATGGCTTTCTCCTGTTAGGAAGCCTTGCCTCTACTTGGATGTCATAGACAAAATGCATGGAAAGGTGAATGCAGATTTCATTGTGATTTTAAATATTGGTTTAAATAATTATTTTATTGTATGGTAATGTGTGTCGTGTATCCTGTAAATGCTTAATGTATAATTATTTTATGTAATCAGAAGTTTTTGTTGTTGATTTTGTTCTCAAGTTACTGAGTGCTGAGGGGGCATCTTAGTTGGGAAGTTCAAGATAAAGAATTTTTGTAAAGTTTGATAAAGGCTAAAATAAGAGACAAAAGTCCAGCTCTGGGGTGCTCCTGATGGACAACCAAAGAACACAGGGGTATATCCCAACAGTGTTATCTTTATACGGTTACATCGCTGAGGTACATGCATATTCATGTGTTTCATACATTATTTAAAAATTCTTGCAAACTTTCTGATGTTTTAGGAACTCCTGTTTTTGGCTTCTTCACACTCTGGCTTATCTGCATGATATCCTGGGTCAATATATTTAATTTCTTCTTGTATCTTCATCCTGCTGTTTCACATCCTCTGACAAGGATTTAGTATGTCCTCCTTAAATTTAACATGGTCTTCTCTAATTGTCCTCCGGTGCTCTGGTTTGTGTCATAGTTATCACTTGGAGGATTCAGTCAAGGAAAGGGGAACACCATGATCACTTTACACTATTTGTTTGGTTAGATAGAGGTATTTTAAAACCTAGTGTTCAGCTAAGGCCTGTAAGATAGAATATTCACCCCACTGCTATTTCTATAAGCTATGCAGTATGTACTTAAACTTATTGTTATACTGACAAACAACTAAGCAAAGGTATACATGATACTATATCTGAACATTTATGATCAGTGCAAAACCTAATATATATAATGTGAAAGCCAGTATCATATTGCAGTCCTCTTTTTATTACCAACACCTTCCTTTTCTCTCGAATCAGTCTGTCCTACCTCAAATGTACCTATTGCCATCTGAGAAGAAAAAAAGTACTTTGAGGAATCTCCTTGGTTCAGTTCTGCTCTGTCAAGAATAACAAGGGCTTGAAATAAAACAAAAAAAAAAAGGCAACAAAGCAACTTGCAACTTGGATTTGGACCTCAGGTTAAAATCTGTGAAAGAAAGCCAAAGATTTCCAGAGGGTTTGTGGAGCGCATGTTATTTCCTTGTAGTTTTGTCCAACAGAATAGGAAGCACCTGGTAAAGTGGAAGACAAAAGCTGCTCTCCAAAAGCCACACAGTTTTGTGTGCCAAAAACTTGTGTTGAAAAAGACTTACATTTGTTCCTGACATATTTTGCATTGTTAAAAATGTAAGGCTGGTCTTTGAAAAAAAAAAAAGTCGATGATACAAAAGTGGAAGCACATTTTTACTGGGAAAAAAATCTACAGAAAGGTTTTCTGTGACTATTAGACAGGCCAGGAACGAGCCCTCTGAATTCCTGGGGGAGATCCTGTGTAGGGCAATTAGGATGTGGTGGAGATGGAATAAAGTCTGGGGGTGAAAAAGTTAGTTTCCAGATGTCCCTATCCACAGCAGGGGTGTTTGGATTAGATGTTCTTTAAAAGCTCCATCCAGCCCAAACCATTCTATGGTTCTACAATTCTTTGTGTGGTTCTTGCAAGTTCATTGCAAGTTCCTGCTGATGTTTGATACACAGTATAACCTAACCTAACCTAGGTTAGAGAGATGCAAGATGCTTCCCTCAAAAAGCTGTTAAGACCCCACTGGCTGCTTCCCCTGCTGAGCCACTCCCTCCCTGTTGCTCGACTGTCCCTCATCTTGGGAGACGTTGTGGACCTCCTGCCCCTCGAGAGAGGAAAAGCCTGGAGCCTGCCCAGGAGGGTGCCTGGGTCCCTGAGCATCTTACCGGGTGGCTGATTTAAACGTGTGAATATTAAGCAAAGGCCCTTTTTGCTTCCTTACCCTGGGCTTTATTAGCAGCAATTCTGGCTGCAACACATTTTTGTTCATATTCTTCAAGAGTCACATTACTGTGTATTCCTCTGCTACTGTTTCAGTAGATATACAGATGTAGAACAGCAAACTGTATGACCTCCTCGACCCAACGAGGGTCAAGATCAGGACTGATGATCGCCGTCCCGGGGATCACTCTCCCATTCCGGGGATCGCTGTGAAACAAAAGATTTTCCAGAGATCACTTGAACTAACAAAATGAATGTATCAAAAATGAATATATCAAAAATGAATGTATCATGTTTGTAGAATCATGTGTTGAATTTTAAGAAATCTCTGCACAGAAAGGCATAGGAAAGAAAAACAAAGATCTCTAAAGCTTCTTGCAAAAAGACAAATACCGGAAAGGACCAAGAGTGCTAAGACTTCTGACAAGGAAGTCCTCTGTCTCCATGTCAAGGATGATGAACTTATCCAGATAGGAGAGCAAAGGACCAAAAGTGCAAGTGCAGAGGAGGAGAGTTCAAAAGTTCAATGCAGAGGAAGATGATGATTATAATTCAAAGACCACCAGGGACCCCCATAAAAGACCCCACAAAAAAACTACGCATGCCCAGAATGGCGTGGACCTATTTAGCATAAGAAGCGAAGACAGGCGGGGCCAGGGGTTGAATATGCATAGAAAAGTTGTGTAATGTATTGCATATGGAACACCCTTGTGAATAAAGTCGGGGGGCAAACTTCAGCTCGGGGCACAAGATTTCGAAGAGTTATCTCACTTGTGCCGGGCGCCGACAATACATACCCACTTCATAACTACATCGAGTTGTGGAGTCTATTTATTTATTCCGCATATCGCTTCAGCTGTCCCGCCCCGGGGATCTCCATCCCGAGGATCGCCGTCCCGGGGATCTCCATCCCGGGGATCGCTGTCCCGGGGATCGCCGTCCCGGGGATCGCCGGCCCGTCCCGGGGATCGCCGTCCCGGGGATCGCTGTCCCATTCTGGGGGTCGCTGTCCCGTCCCGGGGATCTCCGCCCCGGGGATTTCCATCCCGAGGATCACCGTCCCGGGGATCGCTGTCCCATCCCGGGGATCGCCGTCCCGTCCCGGGGATCGCCGCCCCGGGGATCGCTCTCCCATTCTGGGGATCGCCGTCCCGTCCCGGGGATCGCCGTCCCGGGGATCGCTCTCCCATCCCGGGGATCGCCGTCCCGGGGATCGCTCTCCCATCCCGGGGATCGCCGGCCCGAGGATCACCGTCCCATCCCGGGGATCTCCATCCCGAGGATCGCCGTCCCGGGGATCGCCGTCCCGGGGATCTCCGCCCCGGGGATCGCTTTCCCATCCCGGGGATCGCCGTCCCGCCCCGGGAATCTCCATCCCGGGCATCGCCGGCCCGTCCCGGGGATCGCCGCCCCGGCCCGTCCCGGGTATCACCGGCCCGTCCCGGCCCAGCCCGGCCCGGCGCCATTGGCCCCGCGTCACGCCGATCAGCAGCGGCGCCACATCCGTCGGCGGGCGCGGCGCGGCCAATGGGCGCGGGGCGGGGGCGGGCCGCCTCCCGCTCGCCGAGGCAACGCGCGGGCGAGCGGGCGGTCCCGGATGGCGGCGGTGCAGGGTGAGTGCGGCGGGGCTGCCCCCGAGCCGCCGCTCCCGCCTCCCCCGGCACGGCCTCCCCGTGGCCCTGGGAGCGGGGCCGGGCCGGGCCGGGCCGCGGGGATCGGGGCGGGGGCGCGGCGGCGGCGGCCCGACCCGCCCCGCGCTCCGCTCGCTGCCGGCCGCGCCCCGGCGGGAGCGGCCCCCGAGCCCCGAGCGTGGTTGTGTCCTCCCCGCTCCCGGTTGGGAGTCCGGGCTGCTCTTGCCGTGCGCTCAGGGCGTTCCTTGGCTGTTGTGGTGAAACCCTTCTGGTTCCTGTTGTGTGTTCTCCCACCGTGCCTGCCGCTGTACGGGAAATGTGTAGCAAGGAGGAATCGAGTCAAGAGTGGTGGAAGCATGACAGCCCAGGAGGGAGAAGTGATAAATCCTAAAAGAGGATTGAAAGGGAAAAGTTGGGTCCAGTGGGAGCTTAACAAGTGGAAGCAGCAGGTTTGTGAATGAAATGTAAAAAGGACTTGAAGAACAGTTTGAGATGGGAGGTGTTTGAAAAAAATTGAGTTGATATGGAGGAAGTGTTACAAATGGAAGCAAACGAGAGATAGGTTGGGTTGCCTGTATGTTTTCTGTAGGAATAAACACATCCTTAGACCCACCTCTGTGCAAAGGCCTAATGAGGATTTCCAGCCTGCAATTACACTGTTAGTAAGTCTTCAAGTGACATCTCTGGCTTAATTTACAAAAGCCATTTTACCATCATTATTGCTTTTCCTACTACCCCACTATTTCTTCCATTCCCGTGACAGTTTCAATTCCTTACTTGCTCCTCTGTTTCTTTACTGAAGTCTGTGCTGTGCCCTTGTTGTAGGAGTGACTTTCTGTAGGATGTAGCAAAGAGAACCAATGTTTTCTGGAGCTATCTTTACTATTGGCAGAAAGGAAGTAAATGCAGTGATTAATACTTTAATCTTAGCTCTGAATTTTTTTCAAGTGACCATTACAATTGGATATAATCCATAAACACTTTCTCTCTGTAAAGCCTATGTGTTGTAGTGGCCTTTCATTTTGTATTGGGACATATATAATTATAATAACAAGTTCATATTTAATTTTGAAAAGAAAATTTATAAGTATATGAAGATTACTAGGTATGTTTAGTATTTAGGAAGAAATTATGGTAAATAAATAACTTCCTCAAGTGCTGTGCTGATTCTTGTCAAAAGAATAGTTGTGGCAAACCAGCTGGTTTGTTCTGTGGCACTGCTGAATCTTGCTTGACATCATTTACATAGTTTGGGCCATTTAAACGAAGTGGTATTTAATTGCTGGAGTAAGCCATATGGCATTTGAGGAGTCAGTGGTTTAAGTCTTATGCATTAAACATCTTATTTTTCTGTTCACTTTCCAGTGTTCTTGGGTTACAAAGTCCTTTTTGAGATGGTAGGAGTGATAGATGTTATACTGGAATATAGAGGTGTAGAGTCAGAGAATGGTTTGGATTGGAAGAGACCTTCAAATTAATCTAGTTCTTAATATATAAACTATCTTAATTTATTACAGAGGTTTTCTCCATTTCTGCATTAGCACTACATGCTTTTCACTTCCTTAAGTAATTCAGTGTGTGGAGTGTCTCTGTTTTACCTTCTGAACTAGACAAATGGTTTTGTCAGGATTAATGTGTAGTAAGCTGTGGATAAGAGCAGCAGTAAATACAGATACTTTAGCAACTCCTGATAAATACATCATTCTGTATTGTTATATTTTTTTTTGTTTCATGTACTAGGTAATACTGACAATATTTCCATTAGCTTTCTATAAGCATTAATTTCCTTAGCATCTTAAGGGTAACCATCAAAGCCAATAGAGTTACTAAATTATTTGAGCTTGACTTAAGCCTGTGGAGGTTCACTAGTAATCATAGTAGTTCTTCTTACCCAGGCAAACATTGTTTGACTCTTTTTACTTAGTTTTGTTTAGAAATAATTTGTCATTAAAAAAAAGTTAATTTATTTTTTCTTTTCCTGCTGCAAATTAGTGGGGAATAATAAGGAGATGGGATGAAACAGTATAGAAGAACAGGAGTTAATTATAGGATCTTAAACAGGCATTTTCTGCATAGAAAGGAAAATGTGTGGTGTTTTAAAGGGTTAGTCATGTGCCAGTTAGATATGATGAGTAGAGAAATTTGTTGTATTGTTGGAAAACAGGACACCATGGAATGCAAAACTTACATTAACAGTTCCTTCCAGTGTATGGCAAGATCATTAGGTTCAAGTTATATTGTAGTGAAAAGGCTTCTTTCAGCTTGCAGCATGGACTTTGATTATTTTAGGTCTTAGTAGTGCTGTTGGCTAGGGAAGAGGCAAAACTTGGAAACCCTGCCTTGGAGAGGTGTGTTCTTGGTTTAAACTTCTCTCCTAAAAGTTTTTTCTGAGGTTATTTGTGTGAAATTCATCTCTTGAAGTCAGTGTATAATGTATATATATATATTATCTGGTTTCAGGATGATTTCTCTCCAGAGTTTATTTTTGAATGGAAGTGTGCTCCTTCCCAGTAGAAGATGGTGATCCTAATGTATGATCATGGAGAAGGGGATAAGTTCAGTAGAAGTGTTACCTTCCAAATCATCTCAGGTTACAGCTGTAAAAGTGGTCGTCAAAGAGCCCGAAACAAAGCAAACCCAAAGAGGGAAACGAGTGGGATTTGTGCTTGTCCATGCAGGTAAGATACGGAAGCAGAACAGCTGGAATGGAAATAATGCACATTTTGATATCAAACTAGTTGCCAACAAAAATTTTATAGTGACTTTGGACTACTAGTGTGCTAATAAAGTGACATTAACTCTGTGTTCAGGTCTCGGAATGAGGAGTTTGATTGGAAGTTGCACTGGAAAGTCTTAATCATAATGTGGTTATTTGGGTGTTCTGGGTGATATTTTTCTTCTCCTTCCTAAATGTAAATGATTATAAAATGTTGTATTCTGTGGTTGTCTGCTAAGCTTGGCAAACCTACCAAATGAGGGAGATATTTCAGTCTGTTTCTTTATCAATGGAAGTATCAGATACAGTCCTTTCTTTCATTGCTGATGGTTTCTTGTCTAGCTTGTCCATGAGGACAGTCCAGCTAAGACCTTCTGAAATCTGCTTGGGCTGTTTGTTGCAGAGCTCTTTTTACCCTTCTGACATTTTTTTCTTCTGAGTCTATTTTTTTGATCTTGTTCATGTTTAAGTGAGTTACTGTTTATTCTTTTCACATGTAATGATGGCCTCCTCTACTCAGATCTGATACAGAAATTATGTGTAATGTGTATCTTGCTCATAAATTCTACTTTCATAGGTTCTTTATTAAATACTATGAATAATGAAGTTAACAGTGTTTATATATGGGTGTATATTGAGCATCTGTGTGAGTATGTGAGGTGAAATAGAGGAAAGTGGCCTGGTCATGCCTAAAACATTTGAAAAGCCAATATGTTACTTAGTTTATAAAATCATTAAGATTAAAAAAACAGCCCCAAACCTTAAATAATTTATTCTGTTCTGGGTTGATGTTTGATGACCCTGGTATTCTATTTTAAGAGCAAATGAAATTGCTCAATATAGTGTTCTTTGCTGGGTCATTTTGGTATTGGTGTTAAAGCTTATTTATTAGACTTTCTCAAAAATAATATTTCTAAAGGTGAGTGAAGGGAAGTTGAGGTTTTTAGGTGCAAAACCTGGTAAAACAGAAGTATATTTTAAATATGTGCCACTCTTGTTTTTCTGATGCTGCATTTAGTTGAATGGTGGCACTGATAAACTTTTCAGGTGTAAAAGTAGAGGCAGTGCCTTCGAAATAGGGCAGAATGGTTCAATACAGCACAATAGATATAAAGACTGAGAATAAGAAAAGAGGTGAAAAATCTGTATGAGCTTCATTTGAAGGAACTCCTTCTAAATCAGGAGTAACAAGCTTTAAAAACGTAGCATAAACATGAGAAAGTGAGCAGAATTGTGGAAAAAAAAGAAAATCAGAGTTTGACTTAAAACTGAGTTTTGCCCAATAATGGACAGTATAGAAAAAAGCTATACTGGAAGTCCTCCAAGAATGAGTGAAACTGGAATCTCTTGGAACGTTTTTATAGGAAGAGATTGATGCTGATATTTATACCTGCATGCTTCTGGATATATGATCTGTATCCTGTATTTTACTGAGTGTGTTTGATTCTGTGTTTGAATGCATAAAGTTGTCAATCATTGATAGAAAAAGGAAATGCCAATGTAATCCAGAATAAGGAACAGTGTATCTGCCTGTGTCTTAAATCTCTGTGTGAACTACAGGCTGTAGTTTGCCAGATACTATAATATATTTTCCTTCTGTTTCAATTGCAGGTGCAGGTTATCATTCTGAATCCAAAGCTAAAGAGTACAAGCATGTGTGCAAAAGAGCCTGCCAGAAGGTATGTGTCACCAGCTCCACAGTCCTGTTCTGGGTACACAAGAAATATCTGGACTTAGCTGCTTGGGCTGTATGTATTTATAGAAGGAAATGAGGGAAACCAGAGCAGAAACAGTTAAGATAATACAGAGACAGAACAGTGCATGGCCATGAGATGCAGCATGTTCTCATCAGTGCTGGCAAATAGCAGACACCAAATGAACAGTGGGAGAACAAGAGAAGGTCACAGTGGTACCTACAAGGAGTATTCCTACAGCTTCCTGAACTCCTCCAGGCTTTCTGGGGCTAAGTATGGTATCTGTATATTGATTTCTTCCACGTCCACTCTTTGGAGCTTATTTAAACTCTAGCATCCATGTTGCTCTGTGAATGCAGAGATTTCTATAATTATTATAGTCTTCATAGCTCTTACCCTCTTAATAAGCAGGGAGGTAGGAAGAGGAAAAAGAAAACAAAACAAAAAGTCCAAGTTGGAAACGGAGAAATGGCAAGACTTTGATTTCCCTTGAAATTAATATGTTTTCATCTCTTCCAATAACTTTGTTTTGGAGCTTGAAAGTCTTGTCTTTTAAGTGTTGAATGAGTAGCTGGAAGACCTCTCTCTAAAACTTTTAATGCAGGGAGAAGGAGCTTGGGAGCTTGGCAGGACTTTTAGAAGAGTCTCAGAGCTGGTCTCTGATAATTATCACTTTGTGTTACAGTTTGTTGCTCAATCCTAATACCAATCTAATTTTGTAATGAGAGGCCTCGCAAATCATCCAAACTTAACACTGGCTTTTTTAGCCTTGGTGAAAGTAATTTTCCAGCTGGTCATGTGAGATCTGCTGTTGAATTCAAGCCCAATTTGAGATTCTGTGTAGCTACTCTTGAGCTGAGTAGCCAACATCAATAACTTCTGTGAAGAACAAACAGGTTCAGGTTTGTTTTGCAGCCAGAGTTGTTTTTTGGGGTTCCCTGAGAAAGCTTGACTGAGATCTCCTTCAGTATGGATCTAATAAACACTGTTAGGCTCTACAATTTCATTGTTGTGTGTGTATGCTATTTGAAGGTAACATTATTTTAGGTGATTTATATTGGTTTTTAGATGAGGTTGAGGAGTTCTCTTCAATTTTATGGCTATATGTGGTACTAGAAATTTGTGTTGGAGCTTGGAAGGGAAAGCTGAAACTTGTTGACTGACGTGGTGTTTGAGGACATGAAGTATAAGAATTTATTTTGATAGAAATTTGACTATGCAGAAATCTGCTACTAAACACAGTGTCACAATGTCATAATAATAAAATCATACCTTCAGATCTGCCCTCATATGATTCATACTGACTTTTTCCAGTGCTTCTTGTTCTTACACTCTTTTAGATTTTAAAATAATTTGGTGAAGATTTTATTTTATACAGGAATAGAAAAATGTAGGGCTCAGTCACAGAGTAAGAGAATTTCCTAATCATCAGCTACAACTTGTGTTTTACAGGCAATTGAAAAGCTACAGGCTGGTGCTCTTGCAACAGATGCAGTGACTGCAGCACTTATAGAATTAGAGGTATGGCTTTCTGACCAGTAGTAAATATACCTCTTGGGTAAATCTTGCCAGACCTTTCTGTAGGGGGTATTTAATGGGCAGTCTCAGTGGATTTTTGTTTTGTGCGACACTAATTTTATCTTTTGCTTTTCCACTGTATTTTGGTGTAAATCTGTTTGAGTACTTTATAAAAATGCAAATTGAATGAAAGTTTTCTAGTTGGTGCAATTTGGTTGTCGTTTTAGGTATGTCTTATCAGATATCCTTTACCCTTTAAGAATAAACGCAGTAATTGAAGATTTACTGAACATTTTGTAAGGAACTTAATTTCTGGCTTGCTGAGCTACAGACAGGTTGTTCTTGCTCTGCTTCTTAGAGAGAGAAAATATATCCTACTGGTTTTGATTATTATGACAAAATATGTGTAGAGGAATTGGGCAAGTAATCTTCTTATTTCAAAACAGTACTTGTTAATTAAGATAGAACATCTTGGTGAGCAGCTGCTGGTGAGGTTTTTGGAAAAGTGTCTTTTTGGAGTGATGAGGTTTTTATAGCATTTGCCTTCAGTGCAGGTCCCCATGAAATAATGTAGAAGTGAGTAAAGCTAAACCTTTCTGGGTGGTAAACGAAGCAGTTTGGTCCTTGTCCCAGATCCAGTAATCCTTCATGACAGTAATGATGGAAACAGGTATTCTTCTTCTCCTGTAAGTAGCAATTGCTTCTTCCTCTCCAACTTTATTAGTTAAAAAAAAGGAAAGCAAGGTAAGTGTTGTGCTGTAAAAATAATTTCCTGCACTTGGAATTTATGGTAGTATTCCAAGAGGATTAGCAGTGGATTTGCTTATCCAGATGTTGGGAAAGTGTTCATTAATGTACTTGATGGGGATAGTGTAAGGCAGGCAGTAAGTGCATACTTCAGTATGTGTTAGACATGCTGACTGGTAGCCAAGGCTTCAGTCACACTGTGAACTTGGCAAGTGCCTTGGCTTTTAGCACTCCTGTGGGTCTCAGTGAGCTGTTCAAATATTCTTTCATGTGTTACCTTACACATCAGAGTATAGCTCACAGAAAGCAGTGGGTATCTCTCTCATGGAGTTATTTATGATGCACTTCCCTCAGCTCACTGAGGCTGCTCTCACTCCATGAAACTGGTTTCTGTGTCAGCTCCCTCCTCAGTGGAAAACAAAAATAAAAATCTACTTTGAGTTGTGATTTTTGTCGTGTTCCTGAGCTACAGAGAAAAACGTATTTTGAAAAGCTTGACCGAACTGTTGTAGATCTCTTTGCACCTGTGTCTGGGGTAAATAGTTTATATGTTTCTGTTATCCCCAAGAGACTTTAGTAGATTTAAATACTCTGAAGTAGCTTCTGTAGAAAAAATTATGGCTCTAAGATTAAAAAGTTTTTTCTAATTACTCCAATCAGAATCCTTTTTCTCCTTATCTATCTTGCTACTACTGTACTAATGCCTGCTGTCATTCCACTTTTTGGTTTGGCAATTGTCTTAGGTAGTATTTTTATGTGTTCTGTTGTACAAAATGTTTTTTTCCTTTTTCCTGTTTTTAAGATAAAATGTTATTTTGTTCAGGTTGTAGTGCAGTCATTAATGTAATTATTTACTTTCATTTATTCATTAAGTGATTTATATAATCTCTTAATTTAAGGTTCTGTCTGTTACTGGAATAGGGAGTACTGGGTGTGGGATTTGGCCTTCTTTAGATTAAAGTAGTTAGTTATGCAATTACATTGAGGGAAAGTCAAATCTGTACCCAAACCAGAAAATAGTGTGGTTTGCAGTGGCAGGTTTTTGGATCTGGTGTGAGAAACTCCCAAGTGTTAGACTGTCAGCTTCCAAAATATGGAACAGTTTGTATCTACTCATACCTCATTTTGAGCAGCACCTCCAGACATCTCTGTCATATCTGGAGCTGCACCTTCTGGTTTAATACTGGTGGTTTTTCTGGTGCTCTATGGGAAACAAATTACACATGGTAAGTCAACAAAGCAATCAGAATAGTTTTTCTCATTAATTGTATGAGTAAAAATACAGGTTTGTGTTGACAGTTTCTCTAGTGAGCTGTCACTCTCTTTTGTGTATATTATAATATTTATATTATACTAGCATGAACAATGTGTTTTAGCATTTGAAGTTGACAAATAAATAACAAAAATCTGCGTGAATCTGTTTGTCTTCTTGTATCCCTGTAACACAAATGAAGATGCAGAACAACAGAATATTGTATTAAATGATAACAGATTTCATTATAAAGTATACTGACTGTAACTTCTTGATATTTTGGTTTCTGTAGGGCACATTGCTATGAGTTTATCTGAAATATTTAATCACTTTTACAGTTCTCAGGCTTTTAATGCAGTATTCCAAAATTTGTAATCTTTGCAAGGCAAAATATATTTTCATGCAAATCTCACAAGAGATGAATGTTTTTCCTCAGTTCCGCTCAATTACAGAACTCCTGTTACACAGGATTGCAGCTCATCCAAAAGGCATCACTTCAAAGAGTTGTTGAGGCACAAGAGTTGCTCTTGATCTTTTATGATCAAGCAGACAGTTTGCTTGTGGTATGCTGTCTGTGTTATTTTTTCAGGCTCTAAGTGCAGAAAGAATAGCCTTTCTTTGTTGGACTGTGTGACTCTCAAGTGAAATGTGTTCCGTGAATACAATAATAGTAATAATTAACTAGAGGAAAAGGTGGATTTCTTTTGCAAAGGAACAAAACTGACAGAGAATATTGTTAAAACTACTGTGCTGGTCTTCATAAGCATCAGCTGTATTTGATAAGGTCATTAAGGCAGGTATGTTTTGTGGTTTAAGAACTCTGTATTGCAGAGAAACAAATGCACATGTTACCTCTGTCAGCCTTGGTAACAAAATGGTCTGGACAAGGTATTTCATAAGACTCATTGTTTACTTCCACAAAGACATTATTGCAGTACTGTTAATTTTTTCACCCTTGCTATCAGCCACCATATGATGCCTGGATTTTTCTTGAAACACAGTGAAATTATGAAACAGTTTTTTTTTTTTTTTTTTTGGACGGGGAGGAGACCTGATACAACCTACTTAAAATGTGCTGTTTTCAGCAAAACCTGCATATGATCTGCATGTGTCTGGCTGTGAGAAAATTATGCAATTTCAAGCTTTTCTTTAACTATAGAGCACTTAATGAAGTCTCCTGATCAGGTACTAAGAACATACAGTGGTTGTAAAGAGTGATGAAGATTTCAAATTGTTTCTAAGTTTAGTGTAATCCTTTACTAATATGTGTGCAGATTACTTGTTTCTTTATCTGACTTTAGTAGAACGTTCTTTATGAACGTAATTTAAATTGGAAGTTAATATGATTGATGGGGAAGCGGATGTCACATCATTTTGGGTTCCAATCTCCTTGCTACTGAAATTGCTCAGTTTATTTTGCATGTTGTATTGTAAATCTATGAAAGAGTGTTTTAGATCTGTTATACTCAAGCAGTATGTTTCTATGGTTGTCAGCAAAATTTTGCAGTGAAAAAACCTTTTTCTTGAGGAATTGTTTTTTCTGTTTTTTTATTATTATTATTTTCCTAATAGTTAAGACTTTTGAATATACAGTCTTAGTCCCAAGGATTTCTCTTTCAAGGAGAAGCATACTTGTTGTATTAAGGCAGTCACCATAGATAAACTTCTAATGGGTAATGAGCTGGAAGTTGTTAATTCAGTTAAAAACATTACTATGATGCTTTGCTGCAGGGTGACTGACAGTAATTTGTGACAAAAGTGTTGTCTAAAAACATTTTTGCTCGTGTAATTGAAAGGGATGTAACTCATCCTTGTAGACTATTGATTGGCATGAAACTCTCACAGAAAAATAACTTCTAAAATGACAGTGTGTGGAAAGAAATGCCTGTAGACTTTGAATTTGCTTTAAAAGGTACAAATCAGCCATGGCCAAAGCTGTATCAAAGATGGATGGAATGTTCTTTCGTGTTCACTGAAATCTGAGCATTTTAACTGTTTGCCTAGATGTGTTACAGAGCTGAGTAACATCTTCAAGCATTCCAACTTTGACCACAACTAGAAATTCCAGGATGCCTGTATTTGCTGTCAGAAAATTATAAATACATTTTGAAGTAAAAAGGATTCTGTAAATAAAAATGGTGCCCTCAGAAGCTTGAGAGTTTTTGCAAGATGGGTAACTTGGGAAAACAAAACTCTTATTTCACATCTTAAAGCTTTCTCTTACCTCCTTTGCTACAGCTTTACATGGTAAGTTAGAGACACTTTGTGGAGTCATTGCCAGGAAGTCTACTGTTTTTTACATAACTGAAGAGTTACATTTTGTTAAAATGCTTTGAATAGCCATTTTTTTGTCTTTTCTCTGTTCTTCGTCTTCTATGGTGGCAAGGTTTGCTGTTAACATGCAAAGCTAAGGCTTGGTTTGCTTACTTGTCTTTTTCAGTTTCCTTAGAAACACAAAAGCTGATAGCTGCTGTGGTTTTAAATAAAAATATATTCCTGAAGATACCTTTTCCTCTTTTCCTGTCCTCCCTTTTCCTGGACAGATGCTTTGGTTGGGTTCATCCCCATTTTATGGTAGTCAGGTCTTGCAGTGCTGCACTTTTCTGTCTGAGGGTATGAAAAGACTTTCACTTAGGTCAGTTTGTTTCTTGCCTCTTTAAAGGCATTCATGCTTCTGTTTAAGTGTTTCTGTATTTCTTGTAAGTTTTGAATTTTCATTTCAAAATACACCTCTATGTTTATACATTATATTCTTCCATTTACATATCAGACTCTTAAAATCTTTTGGTCAAACTTCGCAGAGATTCATGTTTTGAAATAGAGATTGTATTTGTGTGGTGTATTTCATATCTTTGCCTATTCATAAAAGTAGGTGTGATTGTCTTATTTTCATTTTTTTTTATAAAGGTAGGTTTTCCCCTACCTTGTTTCAAAGGCATTTATCTCACCTCAGAGAAATTCAGGTAGATATAAAAAATTCCATAGGTTCACACCCAGTCTCTCTAAAGCTGTTTTCAGATTACCTTTCAGATGTGTGAAGTTAAACCATCTTCCTCTTAGAATTCTAAGCCTTTTTTTCTTAATTGAATGCAATCTGATTCTAAAGCTAATTGAAACTCCATAGAAAATTTGAACAGATGATTGAAATTTTGTCTTTATTTCTTTTTACTGGAGAAGTTACTCATGTTGTTACTGATAAGATTCCGAGTCCTAATATGAGAGTTACCCCACCAAAGAGACATCTGCAATTTGGTGTGGAGTTCTTATCAAAAATTGTTTAGTATTCTAATAAATATTCTGTAGGGAGAAGTAGGTGATGTTCCCTTTGTTCTTAGATCCTCTGACTAAATTATGTCTTGGTGCATCCTTGTGGTTGTGCCAGTGAAGGTGCTATGCCAAAGCATGTAGCACTTATAGATCCTTAGAAATAAAGTGAGCTCTGTATCCTGTATTTTTCCCTTGGCCTCTTTTGATTATTGCCTTTACCAGATGGTAGAGACCTTTGTGCCTTGAGTGCAGAGGAATTCAGGACAGTGTTACCAGGACTTGTTCTGGTGGGTCCTTCTTACTCCCTTTATTTGGCCATGGCATCTACTCTTAGGACAAAAGCTGTCTCTGCTTTGTGGTAGTGAAAAATCTGTGGAGCACAACATTTTTCCTCTTTGCTAATTCTTTTAAGTATAATGCAGGGAGTGACTGTATTTGGAACAGAACATTAGAGAATTGTCTCCTGACTCACATGTCTTTGCATTCTGATTATCCAGGGGGAGAGGACTTGGACAGCACTAGGAGCAAGCAAGCATTGGTCATTCTAAGCATTCCTGGTTTTATTGTGTCTTCCAAGTACCTGCCACTGTTTGCTTTCAATTCCTTCCACCACTTCTCTGCTCCCTTTTTTCCTAGACTTCACTGACTTAGTTTTCTTCATAGTTATAGAGCCTGAGGAGCAATGAAGCAAGTTAAACCAGCAGCTACTCTGAATCTTCTGCCTTTTCAAGGCTATCAGCTGTTTCTAAATATATTTTCCCCCATCCATCCCCTTTCTACAGAAAATTGTTTGTGCTCTCTAAACTGTAAATGTTTCATTATCCTAAAATATTTTCAAATTTACTTATGTGCTGTGAGGTGTTGCTGTCAAAATAAACAACAAAATGAATATACACAGTGAATTTGAAGAAATGTTGTGGTATGGGATAAAATAGGATAGAATCTTGTGCTGCTTCAGAAGGAAAAAGCAGAAAATAAAGGCCAATTTCATGATTATGTATTAGTCAGGGATCTTGTATTCATGATTCTTCAGAAAGATAGTGTTTTGGTGACTCAAACACTGAGAACTCTTTACATGTCTCTGTAAATTTGAATCAACATCTTGCAGAACAGATTTTGAATTTACTCACTACTTGCTGTTTTGAAAGTTAATAAAAGCTAACTGACATCAGATTTATTTTTCATTTCTATGTGCTCACTTCTTATTTCTCTAAATTCATTGTAGATTAGAATGTTCAAAATCCATCCAGTTAATTTTAAATGTAAGACAGAACTTTGAGCTGTTTCCAGTAATTTGTTTCCTGGTTCAGCTTGTGTTACTCATCAGTGAAATGAGATGTCATACTTCTACAGTGCACGCTTGTGGGATTCTTTAAAATTAGAGGCTTTTGGGCACGTTGTAAAAGACACACTGGTCTAGACAAACATTGTTCCTTGTTGCATCAGGTTGTTACACTGCTGTAATTTAAACATGGGAAAACTCTGAAAGCATGCAGCATCTCTCTGAAATTTGATTTAGCTATTATTTCTTTGTCCTATATTCCTTGCATATAGAAGAGGGGATTGTACTGAACTGGCAGTGAGACTGCTGAACTGTGCTACTTTGAAATTTTGTGGTGTTAAAGTTATGGGGATGCTCTGATGAAATGAAGGATAAAAATGGGGTTTAGTTCTAGCATGCAGAACTTGTTCTTCGACGACCTTGGGTTTGTTAAAATCAACAGAAGTTGTTAACAAAAAAGGAGTTAGCTTTGTGATCTTGTTAAAATGTTATTCCATAGTTTCTATGAAATAGGAATTGGTTTTTAGTCAAGAAGCTTCCAGACCACAGTCCCTGTGCTAATGGTCAAATAGGAATTTTACAAAGTGGATTTTCAGTGATGCCAGTTCATCATTTCTGCATGTGGAGCTGCAGTCATGGGCTTCGAATGTTCAGAAAAAGGACAGTTCTGTTTTGCTGTAGTGTCATACTTAGGAGTTTCAAAGGTAGACTGGTCTGTGCAGAGATTATAAGATGTTACTTAAATGTTACTTAATGGGTTAAAGACCAAGGAAGTGTGTACTTTGGGGGAGGGAGAGATTTTCACTCGTATTGCAAGGCTTTTGCTTGCATAGAAATTATCTTTAATTGTTAGGCGATTGGTTTTTATATTAGTGCATTATTACATTTGAGATATATCACACCCTACAGAGGTGAAAGCTGTCCATTGTAGTAATTTTAGATGCTCTGTTCAAATTGCCCTTGTTCTTGTGCAAGATTAAACTACTAAAATAAGAAAATGCATTGCACCAAGATCAGTGCCATCAGATCACTTATACAGAGGTTTGATCTATCTGTTATGGATGTGGCCTTATAGTGTTCTATTCTTATTTTTAGGATTCTCCTTTTACAAATGCAGGATTGGGATCTAACCTAAACCTACTGGGTGAGATAGAATGTGATGCCAGTATAATGGATGGAAAGTCATTGAATTTTGGAGCTGTTGGAGCACTGAGTGGTATGTTAATTATAAAGCTAACTGCTGATTAAACTGCAAAGATCAATTTTGGGTTTTTTTTTACTTATTTGAAGTGGGGCTTACTGTGAATTCTGCTGTATTTAACTAAATTCTGCTCCTTTAAAAAAGGAGGAGGCAGGCCTGCTTCCTGAAATGCTGGTTTGTGTTAATTTCTTGGTGTAACATGTTGTCTTTTTAGTTCACTGATAATCCTTTGACATAGCACACAGTATTTGTGGTGGGACTCAGTTTGCTGAAATGAATTTGAGGAATGATAATGTAATAACATTCAGTTGTTAAAAATATTACAAGTATTTAAATTAGGCTTTTTATTTGTTTTTGTGCTCAGGCAATTTATTTGCATATGGGACTTATTTAATATGAGAACTAATGTGTTTATCTCTTTTTATCTAGTTTTAGCTTTCAGTATAAAACAAATATAGATATCAAGTCCCAAACAGGGATTGTTAAGGTTTCATTATATGAACTGCCTTAGCTGTTACTATGGAATAGCTTTTCTGACAAGATTTTAAGCTTTGTTCTTTATCCTACAATAGTTCTAAACTGTGATAATAGCTTCCTCATGTGGACATAAATCTAAAATAAATAGTAAAATTAAGCGTTTCAAGCCTTATTTGTTACAAAGTGTATCCTTCCAACCATGGGGAAGGAGGAAATTGGGAGTGTGAGACAGCTAAGTCTGAGTTCTATAATTTCTGTTCTGGCCAGATAGATCCAAATGAAAATTCCACCTAGAAAAATTAATGCTTATAAACATCTTTGACCCTTACATACAATAGATTTTACATGGGATTTCTGTGGTAGATCACTCCTCCTGTTTCAATATAGCTTTTAAAAAAAAGTGGGGGAGATGTTGACTGGAAGGCTTTGTCACTACCAACAGCATGTGAAAGGAAAACTGAAAATGTTGTTACATTGAAACATAAGGTGTCTCTTAAAACCCTTGGAAATTAAAGGAATCTGAGTTCCACTGCCAAAATGAACTGTATAGTGCTATGAGGGGAAAATATTTTTAATGTTTTGTTCCTTTTTTTTTGCTAATTTTTCTTTTTTTAGGAATCAAGAATCCAGTTTCGGTTGCAAATAGATTGTTGTGTGAAGGGCAGAAGGGGAAACTCTCTGCTGGCAGAATTCCACCCTGGTAATTGCTTTGTTCTGCTTGACTTTCCTTCCATCTTTCGTCTCTACTGCATGGATGCAATATTTGAAGGTTTTATCTCACCCAGGAAGGCTGGTGCTGTTTTACATACCAGTGATAGTGTGTCTTTAAAAAGAAGATAAACTTTGTTCTCTGATCTTGAAACTTCTTAGGCAGTCAGTGGAAGGAAGTATTAGATATAGATGGCAACATCATTTTGTGATAGTTTCTGTCTGTCTGATTATTTCCAGTTGTCATACTTAATTCTTATGTTTGTTACTGTAGCCTTTTGAAAAATCAAAAAAAACCCATCAAGATTACATGGAAATTCTACTGTCTTTGCCTCTGTCTACCTTTAACAAAAAGCAGCAAGCAGTTTTTAATAAGTATAGAAAAAAAAAATATTTTAGTGGCTTTGTGGAAATGTGCAGCATTTAGTAACTTCCTCTTATTTTAAAGATAAATTTAATAATATTTACAACAAAAATGAGAACAAGCAGTCCCTTATTAAGATGGATATAAAACTTAAATGGAAGAGGTAAGTATTAAACAGAGAATAACTCAAAATGTTATTGCCTTACTTTGGAAAGAATCCAAGAAATGTGTCAGAATTGATTGCTCTTAAAACCACCTTATTTTCATTAGCAGTTTAAATTGACAGGTAGAGAACTTGAATAATTTATTCATATTAATTGATTGCTGTCATCAGTTATCATACCTATGGTAGAATTTGCTGCCCTTTGCCAACTAGTGGTCAGTATTTGCAAAAGTATTAAACCAGCATTTATGTAGTTTAAAAAAATGTGAATATTAGATTTACAAATTTTAATTTCCTTACTGTAGTGTTCTCTGAAATTAGCCAAGTATCCTATAGCTGGATGGTGCAGTATTCATATTTAAATGGTGAGGATTTTAGTGTTCTGTCATGTGCAAAAAAATTTCATAGATCAAAAAACGCCACCTTGAAATCAAACCATCAACAGGCATATTTTGCATTTTAAACACTTTAATGGATAAAGAACAGAGTAATTGTGGGGAGGTTTACTAAAGAATAGGTACTTTATGTTCAATAGCTGTTAGCTGCTCATTTCTTTAGCTGTCAGGAGAAAATGAGGCTTTGCTGAGGTACATTAAAATGTGAAATGAGTGTGAAATGTGGTTTTTTGGTGTTCCAGAAGTATTATTGAAGTCAGCTACAGGAGCAAGCACTTGAGATTGTTCTACTTATATCATCAGTGTTCTAGAATTATTGTAAGGAAGAGCACTTTGATATTATGCAGTGACTTTACGACCTACTTTATGATTCTATTTTAAAAATACTGAGTGGAAAAGGAACTATATCCTCTTGCCCTCCAAGAACAAGGCTAAATCTTTTGAGGACTGGGCAAGACTAGCAGATGCTTTTAAAGGCAGAGTAGCTCAAATCTTGAGATGAGAGATGAGCTGTCTTTGGAACCAAGGCGTGCAGTTTATTGTGCACATGTTGTGCACTTGGGTTACCTGATAAATATTTTCATTTCCTCTTTTCCCCCTTCTGGATTTTGAATGCACATCTTAAAATTAAGGCAATTTTTTTATCCTGGAAACAGTCTATACTAGTGGGATATGATGGGTCATGCTTTGGGCTTGCTGTGGTGGATGCTTCTATGCCAAGGTCAGAATGAGTGTTCATGTACATTGAAGGTGGTGCCATGGAGGATTTCATGTCCTGCCTTTCTGACTGGGGTTGGCATGACACATTTGGGACTGCAAAAATATTCCTGCCAAAGCTGGGAATACTTAGAATCAAATGACAAGAGATTAGCCATATTTTGGCATTCCTAGGAAGTGTCAGGATTCTAGTAAGTGATTTTTAATTGTAAAGATACACGATTTTCATCTTGGTTCTCGTTGGCACATAGTGTATTGGGGAATCTTCCAGATATTGCTTAGCCCAAGAACCTGCTTAAAGAAACCTATGGTAGAGACTCTTTTTGTAGCATGGTCTAAACTAGCTTAATATTTTCTGCCAAAAATGTTTGGTGCATGACCAAACAGAAAAAATTCAGGAGCTGTGAGGTTAGTAAAAGTGGCATTAGGAAGTTTTTTGCTTTGAAAGATCAGTGGTGATAGTTTGCTTGGGCTGTTTACCCCTGTGCAGCATACATTTTCATAGTGGCAGTTCAAAACTAATTCAAAGTGGGATGTTTCTGATTTTCCATAGAAGAAATTCAAATGAGTTTGAATTAAGTTACTCAGAGAGCTTACTGGGATGGAGAAATCCTGTTCTGCCAGGATTTTCTCTGATGAAGGAACAGAAAATACTTAACTTGTAAATATTTCATTATGTCATGTAAGATATTCCTGTTCCTTGTATAACTTTTACAAAAGAAAATACTTTTGTAATTACATGATTACAAACTGGATGAGCCTTTGGAATGGGTCTTTGATCACAGAGTAATGGATTAGATGTTTTGTGGTAATAAACATGAAGATTTTCTATTTCCTGTTGTGAAACTTTGACCTAAGGAAAGAAGCTTCTTTATATCTGTCTGCTCTTTAAATGTATGTTGGTAAGATTTTCAGGACAGCACAAATGCACCTAAATGTTTCCTTTCTTAGAACTCTATAGTAGTACTGACATTAAGTTCATGTCCATATCCCTTTCTCAATAATAACTATATGGGAAAGATTTCCTTCTTAGGTTCTTGGGATATACAGAGATTTGTAATTGCTTCTCAGCTTTACACTATTATCTGCAGGATACAAACATTGTGTAACTAATAGGGCAGTGCATAGCCAAAGTTCCCAGAGTGAATGAACACACACCACCTTTTATCTCTGCTCTGTATTTCTTCAGAACAATTTCTTCTTTGTAACACTGATTTCAGAGTGATTGCTACAATTTATGATAAAATGTTATAAAGGGTATTTACTATGATGTGGATCATATTATGAACCAAACCTTCTGACGCTTCTGTTTAGCTTGGAGCAGCCTGTTTCCCTACAGCCCATATTAAATGGCCCAGTTTGGAGTATTCAGCACAGCATAATCATGTTCTTGGAGAAAATTGCCTAAAAAGATCATTTTAGAGGCATCTACTTATATTTTCTATTAATATGGCTTAGTGTGCCTGGAACTGGAAAGCACATCTGAACACCACCTCCTTGCTGGGAGGATGTTTTCATCTTCTGTGTTCTGAGCCTGTAAGAGCTACAGAGTATTCTGTCTGATATATTTGCAAGAAAGATCTTTATGTCCTGTCTGTGCAGACCCAACTTTCAGAGTAGCAGAGAATAAACTCATTAATCCTTTGTTTGTATTAATGAACTCATTAGTCCTTTGTATTTGTTTTTCCCTTCCATTTGTAAAATTGTATTTTGAATTAGCCCGAAGGCTTTTGAAACTTGGGGCTGTTTTGACTGCTTTCTATAGTGCACTGGTTTTATTTCTTCTTCCCTCTCCCCCAGTAAATCAAACTTGGTGGTAGTTTTGTTTTTATATGCAGACAACAAAGCATTGAGGTCCTGATGCTATTTGTCTTCTAAACAGTTTATTTTAGCTTTTCTGTGATTATGGTGTCCTTCAAAGATCTGAATGGAACAGTTTTAAAAAGGTGGATGATCTCTGTGGTGATACGGAGCCTCAATTAGTTTTCTACTCTGATTTAAAGACTTTGAAACTAAAATGGTATGTGTTCTAGGAGGGAAAGGAATCTAAGGATTAAGGACAGAAACGTGAACAAACTAAAAGTCACATCACATAAGTTAGGTGACACTCTTGGGTGCTTTGTTCCATTCTTCATAAAATACTAGTGACATTTTCTGGCTTTAAGTATTAAAAAGGCAGCTGTGAAACTGCTTGTAAAACACAGTATTTCTGACTGACCTATGCTTGAGTTACCATATATTGAACTCCCAGTGTTGAGTTTGATGCTTTTTCCACCTAACCTTTCTCTCTGTGTAAATTATTTTATTGAAAAGGAAGTGCTTATTTACTCCCCGAAAATATATTGTTTGATAAAGACCAAAACTACCTTCTTTTAGACAATGAAGAATACTACTAAATTAGGTTTGGCTACAGTTTTCATATTTTTTTTTTAATGTTAATATTGAAAGGTTTTTTTATGTTATGTGTCAGGTTATTTCTTGAGCACTAACTTATCTAACAGTAGATGCTTGAGTTCTGCCGAAGTACACAATAGCTTATCCTACAGTATCTTGCAATGAGAATAATTCTTACCTGAAGCTGCACTAACAATGGTAAGAAATGTGCATTTAACAATTCAAATTCTCATTTAGATCAACCTTTCATGAGACTTTAATAAAGAAAGACTGGGCATACCTCTTGGATTGGTTAAATCATATAGAAGATAGAAAATACCGCCACAAAATACTGTATAATGAAAGCTGCAGATGTTGGATGTAGCATTGTCAAGAAAACTACAGCAGCATTAATGCTAACAAATTTGCTATATCAATAGTGTTCTCAGAAACTGAGAACTGCATGGCCCAAGGGACTACTTTGTAGCTGGAATAACTTCTTCAGACTCATCTTCTTAACTCTGGTATTTCAGTAAAACTTTTTCCAGTTTGCTGAAAATTCTTAGTCTTTGCTTCTTGTGTCCATTAGGCAGTTGTGTTATTCTTAACTTCATTGTCCACTTTTGAAATAAGATTGGAAGTAGTTGTCCTTTATTGTGTTGCACAGCAGCTTTATGAAAGTGTCTCAGTTCCAGCTACTAAAAACCCTATTTTTGGCAGTAAGATTAATTTCTCTAAGGGGAAACAACATGAGGTTTGCTTTTTCTTCTATCCCTAGAAGTTCCATGTGTGTGTATATTTTTTGCTCTTGTTTGTTGTCATAGCAGTATGTACTGTCTCACTATGGTAAAGTGTTCAGTACTGACTAGAAAACAGCTTCTTAGATGGCTGGAGTTTTTTTACAAGTATATTTAAAATTTAATGGCCTACTCTCATTTGCAAATCATTGATAAAATTCCATGAAATAGACCTTAATCATTCTGAATAAAGTTAGTTTTTAGCTTGTATTGTACTTCTCCAAATACTGTTTGGTATTCCTTTGACACTGGCTGGCTTTACTGGAAATACCTTACCATTCTCACCTTTCTCATCCCATATTTTTAGTCTTCAGAATCTTGCTAAGTTGATGTAGAGAGCAAGATTTGAGACAGCTCTGTCCTGTTTTAGCTGCAGTTGAAAGCTGATGCTGATTTTGTATTCAATTTCAAACTTAATAGCACATTTAATGTCAGAGCTGCATAATCTTTTAATGAAACTACGTAAGGTTGCCAAATGTAATTAATAGCAGACGGTCCTGTGAAATATAGATAGTTGATGATTTAAAATTGACCAAACCAAATAGAAAAAATAATTGCAAGCAAAGGGGGATTTGTTATATGGTTTTGTTTAAACTCCCTCTTCTGTGTCTCCTAGCTTTTTAGTTGGTGAAGGAGCTTACAGATGGGCAGTTGATCACGGGATACCAGCATGTCCTCCAGGTATCATGGCTACAAGTGAGTAAACTGGTGGTGTCAGTAGGAAGAACAGGACAGAGTAACTTTAAATGGTGCCTCATCTTTTGAGGTGTACATCACTTCATTGTTCTTAACATTCAACTAGCTTGTTGTGTATGGTCTGTAAGGGTTGTTCTAAGTTTACTAATTTTCTAATAAGTTTCTAAATAGAAAAAATTGTAAACTCTTAACTTTAGCTGTATTTTAGCAACATCTAATTTAAGTGATTCTGTGATTCTAGGATTAAATTCAATGATGGACTTCTTTTTCACCAAAATGTAGGCTCTTTAAAAGCTCAGTCCTACAAGTCTCCAGTTGTGATCCATCCACCCTAACAGCACCAACTAGCCATATATCAAAATTCAGCAGGTGCCAGTTTGTCTCTAAGATTGTGTAGTTACACTCATCTCTGGGGCTTTGTCCAGAACTGCTCTTGTCTAAACATACTGTCAAAGTAATTTGCCTTTTTTTTTTTTTTTCAACCTAAGGCTTCACTTCACTTAATCTGATAATAACCCAGTCTGGAAAACAGACTTGGATTATACTGTATATTGATCCTATCTAATATAAAAGCTTATTATCTTAACATAATCACTGTTTTGTTATTTTATATTAAAACATCATCTGTGAACTAGGCTAAAAATGAGTGCACTTACCCATGGAAAGGAAGATGTGGTTTTCTTCCTTCTCTTCTTCAGCCTTTTGGGAAGTGCCATAACTACCAGTCTGTAGTTTGTTTTAGGTGAGAACATGCCCTGTGCTGCCTGTTGAGGTTATGCAGGACAAAAACCAGAAGTTATTACCCAAAGAAGGAGAACACAGAAGATTAGAAATGTTTATTTTACTGTAAAGAGTACTACTACTTCAAATATCTTACCCCTGGATCAGAGGTTGAAACCCAGGGCTCCCATTAAGCCTTTTATTGGTTCTAATTTTAAATGTAGCGAAATATCTAGAAACTGCAGCTCAGAATTGTTGATACTCAGTGCTGAAGTGTAACCCCTGAAACAGTGGCACTGTTTTATTTGATTGCACTGATTTTCATACACATTCATGACACATTTCATTTTGAACAGAAAGTTTTGATCTCTAGCTCCACATGACTGAAACCTTTGCTCTATCTGCTGTCCAAAATAGCATTTGCAGAACAGCTATTGTGCTGAGTTGAGCAGAACACTTTATTTCTGTGGCTCTAGAAAGAGTAGAAACACTTAATGCTTCAAAGTTTTTTTGGCAGGGAGGAGGGTTGCCTTTTTTTTTTTTTTTTTCTCTTTTTAGGAAGGTAGTTGCTGCTTACCATGTAGGAGATACTTCACAAACAAGGTGCCCTGACTAATTTTGTTTGCATGCACAGATTTCAACTGTTTCTAGTACCAGTGTGTTTTGATTGTGATATTAATTGCCAGATGATATATTTGCTAGCTACAACATACCCAAGTCAGAATAAATATGCACACTAGCAGGGATGGCCACTGTTAGTTTGGTTTGCCTAATCCATACTATGAATTTATATTGGAGAAACATTAGAAGAATAATCCCAGCCAATGTATTTTCACAATCCTGCTCCAATAGACCACTTCTTGCATTTTGTCTCCACAGTACATTCAGCATACTTCTATTTAGCAAAACAATTTGCATTTAAACAGTTGAAACATCCACTACTGACAAGTTAATTTTGCAGTATAGTTATTAATGGTAGTATATCTGAGGTTTTTTTCCTTAAAAAAAAACAAAATAAAAAAAGCAAGAGTAAACAAGAACCTGAAGAATCAGTTCCAGGAAATGTTATACTGATTCCTGTCCCAGTCCTTAGCAAAGTAAATCTTGTACTTCATTGACCTCTGGTCAGTGGGATTGGAAGATGACCATTAACAACATGTGTGACAACATGGGATTGTTACAAGTGAAAAGAAATTGGAAACTCTCTCACAGATAGCATATAAGAAGCCAAAATAAATTTATCCAATATTACCATGGAAAGGAAAGTTAGATATGCTTAAGAAACAATCAAATAGAATTTGTTTCCAAGCAACCACAAAGAGATTTCATCTGAAGTCAGCTGTTTTGTTAAATAATGTACCAATCTTCAAAAAAGGGGAGTTTTTTTTGATTGTGCTTGCTACCATTGCTGTGGTAAAGTTTGCATGGAGAACTGGGGGTGAATTAAGTAGACATTGCATAGCTTCTGAATAGCTCTGTAAAAGAAAGAACTGAACGAATTACTAAACATCAGGAAAATATGTTTAGTAACTTATTTACAAAAAACCAAACCAAAATCCCCTCCAAAAACCTCTAATCCAAATTTAGATGTGTACTTGCAGTAAATATTGGCAGGGAGAACTATGCATGGTCTCCATATGCACCAAAGCAGGTGCATGTTTTGGCTTCTCTGTGCTGCACATGGAAGATAGATTCTTGAAGTTGTCTTAGTCTGTCTCCTTTTTCTTGGAGCTGGGATGAGAAGAGCAATGAGAAGAATAATGTTGCAGCTGGTGTCAGGAAAGCTGGGGGATTGGGTGGTTGGTTTGCATCCCTGTGGTCAGTATCAAAGAAAGGGTCACGATCTGCTTTGTGGTCACACTCCATGGTTCTCTCAGAGCTATCCAAGTATGGAAGTGCCAAACTGGAAGCCTGTTTTAAACCATGTTAATTGTTGAATTACATCAGGTTTTGTCAAGGCTCGTGTGCTTTGACGACTTCAAGTGTGTGAGGACATGGGATTTCTACCATTTGTAGAAACCTGGTGACTTTCCAGTGTACAGAGTGTGTGGTTTAAAAAAAGAACAAACCCAAACACCTGAAATGTGATCTGTCTGTATTGCCCACAGTCTGCAAGGAAGCTGAATTTATTAATCCCTGCCCAGACTAGAGGCTGCCAGTACAGGCCCATACTGGCTTATCCCAGTGCTTTGTTGCTCTGTGCTAGAGAGACTGCTTTGGCAGTGTAATCCAGGTGTTAAGGTGTAATTACAATTTAGAAGTGCTGGATTACTGTACATTGCAGTCTCTTAAAAATGTTAAAAGGACACTTTAAATATGCAACATAAATTTGAGGTACATCCTCAGCTGCCATTATTTGTGCCTGCAGTAGTAATAACCAAAACACTTCTATCTGAAATTATCAACTCAGCCTATATTAGATATAAATGTTCTTTGACAAAGATAACACGTTGTAAAACAGCATCTTGCATTTGCTTACAATGTTAAATCTTCAAAGGGAAAGAGAAGGAAGGCACCTACTCATGCAGCAAACTTGTAACTCTAACAATGTGGAAGTGACTGTAAGCACCTTAGTGAATAATGTTATATAAGGACAAAAATAGTGGCAGTGGATCCACATAAATTGTGAACTGCAGTTCAAGAGTAGCCATAAATAAGATGCTTAAGGAAGGAGTAAGAACATAGCAAGTATTTGATTCCCTTCCCCTATCCCATATATTATTCCAGACTCTACATTCTGTGTTTGTTAGTGACTCCTGCATACATGAAAAGTAAACAGTGCAGTAAACCTTCACAACTACGAGTTACCTCACTGTCATTATTTTGAGACTTGCTGAGTAAAAGCTGCTACTTCATTGTCAGAATCCTGCTCAGAATCCTTCTTCAGTCAAATTCTCTAATTACCTTGAATAACTTTGTGTCATCAGTAAAATCACATCTTGTTCAACAGACTCAGGGCTGCTATGGGTCGGTTTGAAATTCTATTCGTAACAGACCATTTCTTTACTTGTACTTTGTTACTTTTTTTTATATTAACTGTGTGCATGCAAGGAAATTCTTGTTTATCTTATGGCTGCTTGGATTTTTTAATGAGGGAGAGTCTTTTTTGGATGAGTGTAGTGCAAACTGTGCTATATCTAGTGACACTGTGTGTCTCCCTGACCACCAGGATTGCCTGCCTGTCCTCCAAAACCCCAAATCTCACCTCACTCCCAGTTCTCTCATTACTTATTATTGTATTAGAAAAAAACATTAGCAGTATTGCTGGAACTCTGCTATGAGTTTCAGGCAGTGGCTCAGGGCAGTGGCTCAGACCATGTTTCCTTTGTTTTTAAGGGGGAGATGAAAGTTGTGGAGAGAAACTCAAGGGTTCTGGGGATTTGGTTAGGAAGCTTGGTTAATCTGAATATATGATGTAAATCTTCCCTGGATTTGGAGACAGTATTGTAGAGTCACTTGATGTTCTGAAATCTGAACAGCTGAGTGCAGCCAGGAGAATGGCTGTAAGTTACCCAGGAAAAAGGTTGAGCCAAAGTGCCCAGAAGATACTTTGATGAAAATCTTCCAGGTTCAGGGAAGGCTGCTTGATGCAAAAACAAGATTTCTTGTAGAAAGTAGTAAGAAATGTTGTGTACAGTAGCAGTTTGCCCTGAGTTTGTGTTGTAAAGAACAGATCTATGGAGCAGTGCTCTGAGAGATAGGTTATTTTTTTAATATGCTTTAGCCAAGTGCTATTTCCCTCCCATTCATTTTGCTGTTTATGGCAAAGTATGGCAACATGGAAGCTATCTCTGTTAGTCTTTTAGTCCCAACACAAGCCTAAGTGGTGTTAATCTGTCATTTAAAATAGCTTTGTTAAAAAGAAATTTATTTTTGTCTTTCTGTTTTAATTTGTGTCATTTATTTTAGCAACTTCTCAACAGAATTCTTCACAAGATCATTTGAATTCCTGTGGGTTAACTAATTTGTTAGTATATTCCTTTTTAATTCTCTTCTCCAATAGTTGCATTCTACTTTCATATGGAATAGAAAGATAAAGTGCAGAAAGCTTCTGTCAGCTGACTCTAAGCAGTCTGCCAGGGGGTGCTATATGATTGGTCAGAGCTCTATTTCTACTTCAAAGATTTTTAAATATTCTTGGGGTTTTTGTAGTATTTTCAATTGATAGTTTGATTTTAAACAAGGATTGCTGAACACTTATAGGTTGCATAATATTTAGTTGCGTAGTAATTTGTAATGTGTCTGATTGAAAGTTAGTATTTGGGGTTTGTGTTCCCAGC